TAATCTCTTTAGTCCCCCTACTCCTGCCCAACTTTTTTTCTTTTTAAGGCAAGGTCTCAAGTAGCCCAGGTTATCCCAGAATGAGCTTGACCTCTGCCTCCAACTCTAGAATGCTGAGATTACAGGTGTGTACCACTATACTGGCTAGTTTTTATGGCAACTTGACACAAGCCAGAGTTATTTGGGAAGGGGAACCTCAATTAAGAAAATGCCTCTGCCAGACTGGCCTGTGGACAAACCTGTGTGGTGCATTGTCTTGATTGATAATTGATATGGGAGGACCCAGCTCACTGTGGAGTGGTGGTCCTGCGTGCTATAAGAAAGCAGGCTGAGCAAGCCACAGGGAGCAAGCCAGTGAGCAGCATTCCTCCATTGTTGTTGCTTCAGTTTCTGCCTCCAGGTGCCTGCCTTGAGCTCCTGCCCTGACTTCTCTCAGTGATGGACTGTTGCATGGAACTGCAAGCTGAAATAAACCCTTCCCTCCCCCAAGATACTTATGATCATACAAGGCTGTCTGCATGAACACAGAAGGGATCATGTACTTGAGCAAGGGCAACTTGCTAGTGGTACACCACCAAGGAATATGACTCCCTTCTCCCAACAACCAACCACCAACTTCTTATAGCCCCCTGTGGAGGAGGTGGATCCTTATGAGCCCCTCCCCCATTTGTGATGGAATGCTAATGAGTCCAACCTTTTTTTTTTTTTTTCAGACAAAGTCTCACTATGTAGTCTTGGCTAGTCTGTGTAGACCAAGCTGGCTTCAAACTCATAGAGATCTAACTACCTCTGCTTCCTGACTAAAGGATTAGAATTAAAGGCATGCAGCAGCACATCTGGCCACAGGCCCAGTCTTGTGCAGGTTAGCTACAGCTGCTGGGAGTTCTAATGCTAATGCAGAGGGCAGCATTTCTTAGCATTCCTCCCATCCTCCAGCTTTTACATTCTTTTACCCTTTCTTCCATGATGTTCCCTGAGCCTTGCTTGCAGGGTTGAGTGTTGACATAGATGTCCTATTTAGAGCTGAGCACTCAGCAGACCTTACATGTTTAATACAGTGCACTACCTCTATACAAATGGAAAAAATAAGTATAATGTTTCCACACCAATATGCTGTTAATTTCTATACAATGCCAATTCAACACAATAAACTGGGAGATACTTTTTCAAAGCTGACAACACAAACTATATTTGCAAAAATCAAAATTATATATATGTACATATTGCTTCAGTTTCTGTCTCCAGGCAATGCCTTGAGTAATGCGTGTGTGTGTGTGTGTGTGTGTGTGTGTGTGTGTGTGTGTGTGTGTTTACATAAAAAGACCAGAGGGAGAGGAGCTATTTGGGTTGGATATGATCAAGATACATTGTACA